TTGATCCTGGACCCTACACCCTAAACCCTAAGGGGGTATGAAGGCTCAGGCAACAAGAAGGGCAGGTCTGAAGAATACTTTCAAACAAAAGCCAAATGTTGACGGTGTTCCGTTAGTGACGGTGTTCCAACGCATGGTGACGACAGGATCGAACTACTCGGCAGCTGTCTCTTACGGATTTCTTCAAGTCGGGTCAGTTCCTGCATGGAAATCGAAGGTGCCTGCAGCCCTCCGTAGTCTTCCACAAACTTTTCGCCGCTGAAGTCGCAAGAGCCCAAGGGCAAGCAAGCTCGTATCAGGAGGGGTACTGCGGTGGGCCAGAAGGAATGTTACCAGTACTTAGCCGCTGCTTGTTGGCCGTTGCCCTCCCAAACAAAACTCTAAACCCCCAATCCCTTCCAGAATCCTTCGAAGGGGCCCTCAGCAGAAACTTTAAATCACCCTATAGATCCAGCCAGGACCAGCACCCTTGTAGATCGCGTTGAACGAATGCCCCCCCCACCCCCCCGGCCCATCCAAGCGAGGGTCGATTGTTCACGACACGCTGCGCCGGGTCTGGCAGAGGAAGCTTAGGGCTCGGGGGTTTAGGCTTTAGGGGCGCTCTTTTGGAAATCTTTGCGGTAGGGATTAGGGTTTACACGCTCGCAACTCGGACTCGCCAGAGGAGGTCTCTCGGTACGACTACTGACAACACAGAGGCAACTCTCAGCTCGGATCAGGATTAGGGTTTAGGGTTTGGGTTATCTGCGGCTTGAGGCTTCGTGGGTGAAGGTTGCGGAGCTCAGAACTTGGCACATTTCGTGATGCAGGGATAAGGGATCCGGGAAAAGGGTTTGGAGGTCTGCAGCGGTTTCAAGAATTGGGGAGGGCTTCGTTTGATGATCAGTGACACCCACCCTAGACACTAAACCCGGAACCAGGGGCTGTTATGTCGCAAGGCTTTGAGGGATGCATCGGGCGATTTAGGGATGAGGGGCTCTGTTGTTTAGGCATGCGCGACATACAAGGCAGACAGGCAAACACAAGCAGGCCGTTGGATATATAGGGGCTTTAATGGGTAGAATGGGGACGATATTTAGAATAAGGAGCCCTAACATGTAGAGAAACTGTATGGGTTTAGGGTTTAGGGTTTAGGGTTTAGGGTTTAGTTATTTAGGCGCCTATATATTAGCAGCACTCTGAGAAGCGGGAAAGGTATTCTCTCGCCCACAGGGCCCTGCAAGGGTCGCTGGCAAGACAGAAAAGTTCAGTACTGTTTTGGGGATACCACCAAAAAGGGAGCGCGATTTTTCCGACATAAAGCTTCAGGGTGGGTGTGCGGGCATTTGGGCTTATGGGTCTAGGACCAGGATTCGTTCCTGGTCTTCGGTTAGTGAGCTAAACAGCTGTGGTGCTATCTCGCTGGTCGTTATTATGGGTTTATTGATGCAGGATGAGTTCTTCAACCGGGAGGTTATTCCGGGTTATGGTATGCCACTCCTGTGGACCAGGGCTTCTACGAGCTTCAACTTCTGCACGGCGAGCACCGGCGAGGACAGGGATTAGGGCTTCAAGGGCGATTTGACTTTTCGCAAGCCCCGGCAATTCCCCCAACAGTCTCCAACACTCAATCTAATCCTAAAGCCGTGAATCCTAAGACCTCACGAAGGCCCCAATATTTGGAAACCTTCGCCCACCTGTGTGCTTGCATCGCTTCGGAATGGCTCGGTCATCCTCCTTCCGCCCCCAGGCGACCTCTTGGGCAGAAGGGATTCTAGCTTGGGCACTGCCCCAATACTCAAACAGTCTTTCATAGGGCTACCATTAAGGGCTTTACTTACATTAAACACACACACATACATATATATATATATATATGTATATATATATATATATGAAACTGCTACTGGGCTGGGGCAGTCTCCAAATTCTAGCATTCAGAGCTTCCCAGCTACCCTAGACCC